GATTTGTTGGGATTTGATGTTAACTCAGGATGATGATTTTTGGTAAAGACGAAGATTGAGTCGTCAACGATCACCTTTTCTCTTTACTCTGATCATGATCCTCGATACTCACTTGGAGTTCGATGATCGATGATCCTCATCATTCAACATTATGACATCATCTGAATCACAAGCTTTAAGCTTGGCAGTTGCACGTTCATCCCTTGAACAGCTTATCTCTGTACATGATCAAAACGTTCTTGATCAGTACGATTGTCTTTTCTGGGAAGTTTATACATTTGAGTATAACTTACCCGAGGCTCTCCTCTTATGAGGGCTTGACTTAGGAATTGAATTCCAACATTTTTGTTGCTCCGATGTTTTCTTCTCCAATTGTTTCTTTGCTCCGATCAAAGTTGACATGCCCCTTTGTGCTCTGATCAAGGAATCAATTTCAATTACAAGTATTTTAACAGAAATGTTGAAAATGAGGCTAAAAGGCCAAAAAAATTGCTTTTATGGATTTGCTGGAAGGGCTGAAGTGCTTCCAAACAAGGCTGAAAGAGGGCTGAAGTGCTCCTCCAGGAACAATCTGAAAAGTGTAAAGAACCGATGTTTTTCTTTTTTATTTCTTTGTATCTAGGGTTGTTAAATAGTCTAGATACAAAATGCACAATATGTGGGAGCAGAGATTGATGCATATTCAACAAGAAATAAGGAATGACACTGGAGACAAATGAGTGACATGTTAAAAAAAACAGAAGCAAAGAAAAGAAAAGGGAAAGAGATCGATGAGCAAAATTTCAACAAGAAAAGAAAAGAAAAAAACACAAGGGAACAAAATCCCAAAAGTGAAAAATGAGAGCACCAACACAACATCAGAGAGATTGGGAATGAAACAAAATTTGAGAGATAGAGTTATAATCTGAAACCAAATCAGAGAGATTGAGTGAGTGATTATTTGAACATCCGATTAAAACAAAGTAAAATCGTAAGAAAGCTGGATCAATGTTAAGGTTGTCACAAGCATCACCAACAGGCCCGTGGCCGTCTTCATTGTTTTCATCTTCGTTGTTTTCTTCTTCATCGTTTTCATCTTCATCGATTTCATCTTCATCGTTCTGGGATTCATTTGGTTCCGAGCTCGGATTGAGGTATTGAAGTGATCACAATGTGCAGAAACAAGAGAATATTGTGATGGTGTAGTAGATGGGGATATAGCATACACTAGCGACAAGTTGCTGAGATCTGAACTTTGAATATTCAGGATGTCCTAGCATTGTTGCCAAGTACTCCCAAAGTTGGGGAGGGTTGGTGATGAAAGCTAGAATATCTGGCAAGATTTGGGATCATGGCCGAACCGATGCGGTGTTGTTGAAGTGTCAAACTCAGGCACTGCTTGTGACACATTGCTAACACATCCATGTGAGACTTCTAATCAGCATTGGAGGCAATTCTTCATGATCCACGTCATCATCACATCTTCACAAGCATACATCACACATGTATTCAACATTGGCAATGCGTACTTAGCTCAATGGTCAGAGCATCACTCATGAATGCTGAGGTTGTGGGTTCGAGTCCCACAGTACACAACCTTTCTTTTCACTCGTTCAATAGGTTATGAGCCCAGGTAGCGCATGCTGCTTCACAATTGAACTTGTTAAGATTGGTAGCATTTGCTAGCAACCCTGTCACAAGCACGGGGGAATGTTGAAGTGTCAAACTCAGGCACTGCTTGTGACACATTGCTAACACATCCATGTGAGACTTCTAATCAGCATTGGAGGCAATTCTTCATGATCCACGTCATCATCACATCTTCACAAGCATACATCACACATGTATTCAACATTGGCAATGCGTACTTAGCTCAATGGTCAGAGCATCACTCATGAATGCTGAGGTTGTGGGTTCGAGTCCCACAGTACACAACCTTTCTTTTCACTCGTTCAATAATAGGTTATGAGCCCAGGTAGCGCATGCTGCTTCACAATTGAACTTGTTAAGATTGGTAGCATTTGCTAGCAACCCTGTCACAAGCACGGGGGAATGTTGAAGTGTCAAACTCAGGCACTGCTTGTGACACATTGCTAACACATCCATGTGAGACTTCTAATCAGCATTGGAGGCAATTCTTCATGATCCACGTCATCATCACATCTTCACAAGCATACATCACACATGTATTCAACATTGGCAATGCGTACTTAGCTCAATGGTCAGAGCATCACTCATGAATGCTGAGGTTGTGGGTTCGAGTCCCACAGTACACAACCTTTCTTTTCACTCGTTCAATAGGTGTGATTGTGGCTATATGTAGCAAAGCGTGGGATTTAGCAGAGCTGATGCGGATGCTCTTACATGACCACATGACTAGCGCTAGTCTACCCTGAAGACAGTGCCTGATTGGGGGGCCTACATCCAGATCCCCTCAATTGATCATCATTTTTTTTCAGTTGGTACTGGGGGCCACTCAATTTTAGCCCCCTGCCATTTTTTAACACTTACTTGTAAGACCACATTCCCCTGTCAGACTACCTTAAGACCATGGGTTCAATTCCCCCTCTGACCATACTTTACTGGGTTCCATTCCCACACTTACTTGTGTTCAATTTCCACTTTCACATCTTGCAGCACGGGGGGGGGGTCATGTTGAGGTGTATGATAGTCTGCTACCATTATGTATCACCAGAGTGTGGTGTACCACCCAACTGACCTGGCAAACACAAGCATCTGTAGCCTACACAGCTAGCGATCGGATGTCGCATACAGTCTGCTGCGACACCCACAGTAAGGGGGGCCCCTTGCCGCGGGTGTCGCAGCAGACTGCGTGCGACATCCCTGTGACAGCTGTGCTAGTTGGTAAAGGAAGCACTATTGTATGTGACTCAGCATTGCTGAGGTTGTGGGTTCAAATCTCACTAGGCACATCCTTGTTTGTTTTTCTCTGCATCTTGTGCTGTTCATTTTCTGCGGGATTGTGTGCAATCACAGGACATTTAAAATCGTCACCATGGACCTTGGCCGTATCAGTCATATGAACATTTCACATAAGTTGTGCAAAAATCCAGCTTGACACATCAATTTCTTTAGGGGGTTGGAAAAACGACCCCCAAATTTTAGTCGCCGACTCCCAAATACGGTTGTCCAACATCGAATGGGAGTCATTTTTCCGGCCATCCAATGATGTTTTATTTTTTTTTTATTTTTTTTGCATTTTTGGGAGTCGGATCCCCAAACCACCCCTCATGCTTGAGGGGGTTTGGGAGTCGCTCCCACATGACCGGAAGGAAATCCTTCCGGTCAATAAGAAACAACAATACCATTGACCAGAAGTGATTCCTTCCGGTCCTCATTGATCAGAAGGGATTCCTTCCGATCAATGAGGTGTAACAACCTCATCGACCAGAAGGGATTCCTTCCGTTCAATGAGGTGTAACAACCTCATCGACCAGAAGGGATTCCTTCCAGTCGATGAGGTGTAACAACCTCATCAACCGGAAGGAATCCCTTCCAATTGATGAGGTGTAACAGCCCCATCGACCGGAAGGGATTCCTTCCGGTCAATGGTGTTGTTGTATCTCATCGGCCGGAAGGATATCCTTCCAATCGATGAGGTGTAGAGCCTAGAATTGGTCTCGATGGCCGGAAGGGGTTCCTTCCGGCCATCAAGATTGTATGGTCTTGATGACCGGAAGGGATTCTTTCCGGTCATTGAGACTGTACAGTCTCAATGACCGGAGGGAATCCCCCCGCCCAGTGGGAGGGAGGCGACTCCCAAACCTCCCACTTGCCAAGGAGGGTTTTGGGCGCCAACTCCCACCCAAAAAAATAAATTTTAATAAAAAAAAATTGGGAAGTCGACTCCCAATCCCCCAGGGGGAATTGGAAAGACGACTCCCGTCCGACGACCCCTTGACCAAAATGGGAGTCGTCGGCAAATTTTAGGGAGTCGTTTTTCCAACCCCCTTTCTTTAATTGATGAGTTACACTACACTACATGTGTAGTGTAACCTCTAATGTAGTGTAGCGTAACTAGGCATGTAGTGTAGTGTAGTGTAGCTTAATTTGGTATAATTTACGCTAAATGTTAGTGTCAACTCAATTATGTAGTTGGCTAGTGGAAGTTTTGTTAGGTTGGAAAAAGTTACACTACTTGTTAGTTTAGTGGCAATTATTTCAAGCTAACACTAAAAAAAAATTGACGGAAAAATATGGCAGTTTGCTCAGCGGTGTGTAGCGTGAACCAACACTACAGGATTTCAAGCAAAAAAAAAGCAACTACGCTAACATGTAGTGGCCAAATAGCATAGTGTAGCGTAGCGGCCCACCGTTGGTTGTAGTCAAGGTTTAGGATAATTGTAAAAGGTAATGAGGAAAGTTAAAGGTCAACAAGGAAAAGAAGAGAAATTAAATGAACAACTAGCTGTACTATTATGACGTCACAGATGTATGCACTGTTGTACCCAGAATTCAACAACTTGAGGATTTGTGGAAGACCATTCACAATCAAATTGTATACTCCCCAAAGGAAGTTATCCTAGATGCAATGGTGCAACAAGTCCACTACACATATTTATAGTGGGAATTTATTGCAGCGGAGTGTAGTGTTCATACATGTAATTGTATTGCAGTGGAATGCCGCTGCAATACAAATGTATTTTTCTTGGACGTATTGGACAACCAATACAATTTGAGGCATTGTATTGCTTGGCCCTCTGCAATACATCCCAAATGTATATAATTCTGTCGAATGATCACATCAAACTTAGTCCAAGTAACCCCTGATAATTCTTTCACTTGATTTTTGTCATTGTAAGTAATCCTCCTCTGAATGATCTCAACTAGAGATGGGCCCGGCGCATCCGGATATCCGCTCGCGTTTTCAGCATAATCAGACATCCGCATCCGCATCCGCATCCGCCGGCGGGTATCCGCACGGATATCCGCCCCTTAAATGACCCCTAGGGTGCAAAATGAATGTTACGTGGGGAAATTTCAGATTTGGGGGGCTGCATAAACACCAGTTTTGAAGTCCTGGTAGCCTGCAAGCCTTCAATTTTTTTTTTTCTTCCTTTGCTGCTTGCACTGCCAAAAAACAGTTTTAATTTTTTTTTGTTTTTTAATATATATATATTTCCTTTTTATTTTATTTGTTCTTTTTGTTTTTTTTTTGTTTTTCTTTTTGTTTTTCCTTTTTGTTTTTCTCTATTTTTTTTTTTCTTTTGTTGCTCACAGCCTGTGACACTCCCAAAAAAATGGAAAAAATAAAAACAATTTTTTTCTTTGCAATTTTTTTTGTTGCTTAAGTTGCAGCTAACTCGTGTATGACTTGTATTTTTGAGGTGAACCAGTAAGAGTGACAGAAAGCAAGGAAAGAAAGAGAATCAAAAAAAATTTAACCTGTGTATGACATTTGT